TCATATTATATATACAAAAAAAGAAACAACAACACTGCTTCATATTAATCAGGATTTACACCAGTATCACATTTTTAACTTTTAACACTTTTGGTTTTATTAAAGGAAATATCAGATTTTCTCAGGTGCCAAAACAAAATGTAACAGCTCTGTAAAGGCTCACCAGAGAGCAGAACATAAAGTTAACATGACTATAACAGCTGAATGCAGCGAGTTCCATGTTGCTCAGCAAAACGCTTCACAACTTTATTTAGATCCAATGCCTTTGTGCGTTTTGATTTGAGTAAAACCAAACTTGATCGTCTCTTTTCTGTCATAGTTGACCGCAAATATGTCTTTCTGAGCCTGAAACGTCAGGCCTAACTAACATCATAGTTAGAGAAATAACGTTCTGCAACCTGATTTTTATCATCTCAAAATCAGCATTGCAGCTATGCTAGCAACATTGTGCTTTCATTATGATTTAATTTCTCGATAGATAGTTTATCAATTTTTACCAGTTTCATCCCGTTTCTCCTATCCCCATGACCCCTGGCTCCCTCGCTTTGCCCCATTTGGTTTTCAAAACAATCAGTCTCAGTCGCTCTCCCGTCATCTCATGATGCATTCACTGCAGTCCGACATTAGAAATTAGCGGTCGTAATTCTCAAATGATCCATAATTTATAAGCCTCGCCACCCCTACTGCCAACTGGGGTGGCAGCTGGGGTGGCAAGGCTGTCATTTAGGGTGGCATTTGCCACTCTATGCCACCCCAGTAGATCTGCCTATGGTGTTGTGGTTTTAATCCAGGCACCCCTTACTGTTGAATATTTATCAGATTAGCAATCTTGAGGAAGTAACTGTCTCATGGTGGCTTGATCCTGTCAAAAGTGCTATGTGGTGCCTATCTGAATGTGAAGGTCTAAACACTTTGCGTCCAGGATATGTGGGGTCTGCAGAGACGTAAGCTTCTCTATTCCTGATCCTAGATCTATACACATACTCGAAGGAAGGGAGTCAGCCTGGATGATCAGTTTGCCTAATCTGCAATGTAGTTTGGAATTTAAAACATGCTTAAATTTAAGGCTTTTGCTGTTGTTGTCTAAGTCTTGGACAGAACTGGAGGTGGTTACTGTAATCTGCTAGCTTTATGGAAAAACACTCCCACACCAACATGAGTATATTGTTCCTAAAGAATCCTACTTTTACTCATCGTCTTCCATTTTACCAGGCCGCAGGGGCAGCAGTCTCAGCAGAGATTTCCAGACTTTCCTCTCCATAGACACCTCGTCCAGTTCTGCTGGGGGAAGCCTGTGGTGCTCCCAGGCCAGCCCAGATTCTCAAAGTATTCCTTCATTGCCCCAGCCCCCGATAACATACCTGGGCAGGTGTGCGAGGAGTGTGCAAGGCAGCTGGAGCAATCCATAGTGCCAGCATGCTTCAAGTCTTCCACCATCATTCCGGTCTTAAAGAAGCCTCAGGTCACCTCACTCAATGACTACCAGCCTCTCAAAACTGACTCAAAAGGTGCTTTGAAAGGTTGGTTAAAGAACACATCATCTTCCAGTGTCCCCCCAGCATTTGAACCGTTCCAGTTCGCCAACCGACAAAACCGTTCCACTGAAAACGCCATCTCCTCTGCTCTTCACCTGAGCCTAGTACTCCCACATGCGGATGCTGTTCCTAGACTTCAGTTCAGCTTTCAACACCATCATCCTACAGCATCTGATCATTTGCACACACGGAGCTAGTACATCTTTTAATTTTTTTAAAATATATTTTTTTATTTCTTCAGGAGAAACTGGTTGTTTTCCAGAATATAGTTTTTGAGAATGGATTATTGTTAGACTGATTGAGGAGCTCCCCATGCCGCACTCCATTTGTCTAGGTGGCAGTAATGCATCTTAAAGTTGTGTTTCAATAATCATTACCACTAGAGAGAAGAAGTATGGTCCCACTCTAAAATGTGCTAAAACGAAATCGACTGTTTGTTGCCAAAACACTTTGTTTTTGTTGTTATTTATTTATATAATGTTTTGATCAAAATGACTGGAACCCAAACTCACACACCGTAGACATGAATACAACCTCACATACATTTCTATGGTACAAACTTATGAACGTAGTTTCCACTATATTTTGTACATAGCATAATCATCAGTACTGTTTAAAGAGCACTGTGTTTATGCTTGCCCTTACTTCTAATATTTATCTAACCCTCTGCTAACAGAAAACTCAGTTTACTCGTTCAGGTTGGTGTGACATGGAAAATATCGCAAAAGAGATTCATAACCGGCTCTTGTGTCCTTTTATGTGATTGGTGTAAATAACTTAAAATAAGTCGGTACCACCTTTTGGATTGGATTTTTAAGACAGTTTTTTTACTTATATAATGTGGTTGGTCATTTTTTTATGAGCTTCTTGAGTTTCAGTTATTTGCTCTAACACTGTTAATCCACAGATGATTGCAGGAAGAGATAGAAGACTGAGAGAAAGACTGATAGAAGTTCCCCAGCGTCTTGCTGCAAACACTGATGGACCAATGTTTTTTAGGGAAGTTTAGTCTGCTCTGCCCTTCTTGTAGACTGCTTCAGAATTGCATTTGTTGTCTAGGTGAACACAAAAGATTTATTCTCTTAGGATTCCACTTGTTTCTATTTGTTCTTAAATCAACATTCATCCCCTTTGTGTTTTTTTAACCCTACATTAGGGTACAGATGATTGTTTCCACACCAAATTCAACTATATAATGAAGCATAAGCATAACCAGTTGGAATCAGCACATTCTCAGATATGGTGGCTGCAGCACTTAAATGTGAGGAGCTGAAGGAGATCTAACAGTTTGTAGATATCTGTGCTACATTTCAAGCATCAAGTGCTGATTACGAAATAAGATTTTGTTTAATGAATCATATTTAAAGAGCATCCAAGAAGCTCTTAAAGCGGTGCATTTCGACCATTGTATAAGTCAGAAAGACATAAGTGAAAAATAACATTTAAGTCAGATTTGAAGTGACATTAATAACTTTTTTTGTGGATATTAGTTCTAAAATGCTTTAACTCCTATATAATTTTTATTAGCACAAACACAAAAAAACTGTAATTAAAGAATTACAGAGATAGACAAAGAGTTTCTGGAATTTATACTGCACCTAGCTTCAGCACACATTTAATTGCGCAAAAAAGTGAATGTTTTAATGTAAAAAATAAAAAAAAAAGAGGTCATGTCTGAAAGATGTAACATCTTATTTCATCCAGAGCAGGGTTATCTTCCAGAGTAATCTATTGATGAAGTGGATTAAACTTATTTAGGCTACTAAAATGTGTTGAGTTAGTGTAACACATACTTGTTTTTTTGAGTATATTCTACTCATACCTATGGATTATTCTGAAGTAATTTTGTATGAATTAAGCATAGCCCAACATAGTATAAAGAACAACTCTAATATTGTTGTACAGATTTTGATTACAAGAACCCAATGTCATAGTCTTGGTCTGTTTGTTCCTGTTTTTCTTGGTTATCCATTTGTTGTCCTCTGCTGCCCTCTTGTGTCCTCCCTTGCTCTGTTTCTCTGTCCTGCCAGCACCTGTTGCCAATTTCCTCGTCAGCTTTCTCTTTGTCTCTGTCCCCTTTAAAAGCCCTTCCTCTACAGTTCCTGTTTGCTGGATCCTCGTCAAACTTCTCGTCTTACTTCCCCTCTATCATCTGCCTGCCTTGTCTTGTCTCTCCCTGGCTTCTGGTTTAGGTTAATCCCGGATGTCTCCTTGCTTCTGGTACGTTTGTAATTTTCAGTTGGACTCTGATTCCTGCTTCTGGATCTGTGAACCAGAATAAACAGGCTTTAATTTACCTCTGCCTACTGGTCTCTGTGTTTGGGTCCTCCATACAAATACTGCATCATGACACCCAATGGCTGATAGTTGTCAGTTGACTGGCTAGAGCCACAACACTATGAATGGGGTTGCTTTTACATTTATTGGTGGATGTTCCTTGATACTAATAGTTTATCATTAATTGTCAAAATAATTAAATATCAGGGCTGTTGATTACTATTAGTTGCCAATGTGAAACCACTTTATTTGGTTTGGCTCAGTCCTGATGAATACAATACATAACGCTCACATTTTGGATCATTTATAAGAAATAAAACAGCTGGCTGTTGGAAGTATTCTGATTTTTATTCTGAAGTTTATTGACTAAAACAGTAAAATAAAATGTTTATATCCATGGTATTTTTTAAAACCAAAAATATATTTTTTTTTAAAGTTTACTTTATAGGCCTTGCAGCAAGGAGGTTCCGGGTTCGATTCCCGGCCCGGGGTCTTTCTGCATGGAGTTTGCATGTTCTCCCTGAGCATGTGTCGGTTCTCTCCGGGTACTCCGGCTTCCTCCCACAGTCCAAAAACATGACTGTTAGGTTAATTGGTTTCTCTAGATTCTCCTTAGGTGTGAGTGTGTGTGTGAATGGCTGTTTGTCCTGGTTGTCTCTGTGTTGCCCTGCGATTGACTGGCGACCTGTCCAGAGGGTGTCCCGCCTCTCGGCCATAGACAGCTGGAGATAGACACCAGCACCCCTCGCTTGGGATTAAGCGTGTAAGAAAATGGATGGATGGATGTACTTGTTAGAGCCTCCCTTTTATCAGTGTTTAGAAAAATAAGTGAGGAACTGATTTTTGAATCAAAATGTACTTATATATGAACAATTAGAGCTTTTTGGGTTGTTTTTTTGAGAAGATTTTATTTAAAACGGGACACTGGATATGACCTAACATCGGGGAGTCTGATTAGCTTTACAGTAGCAATAGATACTAGTGATAATTCAAAAATTGGAGAGACTTTAAATATGTACATCTACACATATGATGGACAAAAACCCCATAATTATAAGCCTGTTGCACGAAGAAAGCAGAGAGAGACCAGGGGGAGAATTAATTCACTGCTGTATTAGAACAGTAAATTCACTTTTGTCAGTAATAGTGTCAAAGTTTGTCCTCAGAGGCAATTTTACCCCATAGCTTTGTTAGAAAGACTGAGGGAGAACCTAATTTAGTTTCTTGTTTCCGCCCGGACCGCTATTAGTGTGACGCGCGCCGAATCTTTATTTCTTCATGGTGGATATTTGTGTGCGTAATAAATAAAGTAAGTGCCTTTTAGATATAACTTTACTCTTTACATGTTCTGCTTCAATCTAATTGTAGTGTGAATCAGTAATTTGCACCGTATTTCTGTGTTTCTTGCTGTTCTGGTAAGCTACTGTGATTGCTAGCGCTGGTTAGCATTTGTTGCTAATAGTAGTTCAGTTAATGCTGCTGCTGCCTAGAGTTGCTGTATTTGAAGTTGCATGGCTTGTGTTATTGCTACTGATCCAGCAGTGTTTGTATGAGGATTGCTGGGATTTTGGTTAATTGTTTGTTTATTTCTGTAGCTGTTTGCTGAAATGTTTAGTGAAATCCTAATTTGGCTCATACGCACTTTTATGTTTGTTCCTTTTTACAGACCATACTCATATGCTCCATGAGCTCAGCATGTAACATGTGTTTCACATGTACTTATGCATCTCAGCCTGTTATGGACCATGTTCTGTCTTTGGAGCCATATTAAAGCTGCCGAACATTATCTCCAGTCTCCTGATTCTCTAACCGGAATCTCCCATCCATGGTGCCACTTCAATCAGCCTTCCTTAACTTAAATGTAGAAGGGTTTTCTACATTAAAATTGGTCCTTCGAGCCGGATTGAAGTAACAATATAACACCATGGATGATGCAGCTTCAGAAGCAGGACAGTCCAAAGGCAGACCCCATAGAGAAAGCCGTCTCCCATCTCACCTAGAGGACTATGTAGTTGGTTACCATGCCCCTCATGCTCATCCTGCAACACCTTCTCACACTGTAAGAAGCAAGCACAGGAGCAGCACAAGGAAAACAATTAGCACCATAACCAGCTCTACCTCTCGGTCTGGAAGACACAGCAGCTTCTCCACCGGGTTTTACCCACAGCACGATCTCTCACCTGCTCAAGCTGCATTTCTGGAGGAAAACATTAAGCGGCGCCAGCTTGATTGCCTCCGTCAGGAAATTGAAGAGGATTTACAGGCCGATGTAGAAGACCAACAGATACAGGCTAGGATGAGAGCAGCACAGCACGCCCAAGAGGAGGCCCTCCGAGCAAAAGAGGCTTTAATTAAAAGGCTAGACAGGAACCGACGCCTGAAGCAGGCAGAGTCTGACCTAGAACTGGCGAGATTGGTTACGTCCATGGTTGTATCCGACGAAAACATAGTTCCCTCTGAACCTGCTTCTCCACAAGCGAGTTTCCATCAACCATCAGCTCAGCTAGTAGCAACCAACTCCGCTGACCAACCACTGCATCCAGGGGAGTCTGTTTCACCACCTTCAGGAGCACATATGGTCAGACGCCCCAGCACTCAGCCTGCTAGCATTCCCCTCATGTTTCAGAACCCTGACCAGCCTCTGCCGTCTCGTGCTTGTGCGTCAGCAGCTAGTCCTGTCACTCAGACTATGAATCAAGATCAGAAGTCTAACCTCATGCCATCAAATCCAGTCCCCAACTCAGTGACCAGAGGGCTACAGTCAGAACCACGGCTCACTCACTTCACACATTCACTGCCTTCACTAACTACACAGTCAGACCCTAGGACGGCAACGGCCATTCCCAGTAACAGCCAGACAATCCCAGCAGCAGTTCCCCTCCCTGGTTTAGCACCACAATCCGGAACTGACCTGCTCATTGCATCTGCTTATGGGATTCCAAGGCCCACACTGCCAGTGTTTGACAGTGGTCGTGAGAGTGATTTTGCCCTACTCAAAATGGCACTAGACAATTTGCTGAATAACCACATCCATCTAAGTGAGCAATATAAATTTCAGGTGCTGATTGGTCAATTAAAACTTCCTAGTGCTCTCCAGCTAGCAAAGGCTTACATGCATCACTCACAGCCGTACACTGCAGCTCTGCAGGCACTGCAGGAGAAATACGGTCAGCCCAGACAGCTAGTCCAATCAGAGCTAGGTGCAATCCTCAATACCCCATCACTTAAGATGGGTGAAGCTCAGGCCTTCGACTCATTCGCTCTTTCAGTTCAGTCTTTAGTTGGCATGCTACAAACTCTTGAGGGACAAAATGGCTACGAACTTATGTGTGGGTCCCACGTTGACCGGCTGCTAAGCAAAATGCCAGCCTCCTACAGAGACAGCTTTGTAGAGTATTGTCTCAGCCGGGGCATACTACAATCGGGTACAGACAGAACCTATACGCTCCCTGACTTGGCCGTCTGGTTACAGGTTAAGTCGCAGGCGAAACGTATTTCTAGTCGTGCTGCTGCCCTATTCCAGACTGAGCCGCCAAAACCGACCCGGAGGGAGCATAAACCCCTTTACTCAACGGAAAGGTCAGTACCTGTTCTCCACACAGTAAAAAGCGAAATGTCGAAGGCTGAGTCCTGGTTCTCAAAGCGAAACCCAAAACCGAAGCCATATTGCCCCTATTGTGATAACAAAGAACATTTTCTAAACTCTTGTGAAAGCTTCAAAAGGCTTAGCACCCATCAGATCATCACTTGGATAAAAGAGGGAGGCCGATGCCAGAAATGTGGTCGCAACCACAGAGTGGAGGACTGCAACCTTAAACGTCCATGCAAAGCCTGCAGGGAGCTTCACCTTACAGTTCTTCACGATGCAATAAGTGACTCATCCAGTACAGTCCTGATGGTGAGCTCAGCACCCACTAAGGTTTACATCGACCGCCCTAACCGCTCACAGCGGGTTATGCTAACGGTGGTGAAGATTCTGATTCATAATGGGGACCGATCTATGGAGGCTTATGCAGTCCTAGACGATGGATCAGAACGAACAATTGTTCTCTCACCTGTCATTAAACACCTTAAGATTGCAGGGCAACATGAGACACTGCCATTGCAGACAGTTCATCAGGATGTCCATCAGCTGGAGGGACTGACCGTCTCATTTGAAGTGTCCCCTTTCTCCAAGCCTTCTGAAAGATATCCAATCTCTGATGCTTTCTCTGCAGGTAGGCTGAGTCTGGCTGAGCACAACTACCCAGTAGCAGCCCTTCAGAAAATGTATAAACATCTGAAGGGTTTACCACTGCAGCTGGTCGAAGGAGTGCAACCATTACTCCTCATTGGATCTGATATGCCACACTTAATTACTCCTATCCAGCCTATCCGTCAGGGACCTAAAGGAGGACCAGTTGCTGTGTGTACCAGACTTGGGTGGTCACTACAAGGCCCAATAACACCCATGCAGACTGCACGTGGAGGACAGCAGTGTCTACATCTCACCTCAGCTACGTCCCAGGCAGAGCTCCTCCAGAATGTGCAACGGCTATGGCAGGTTGACACTTTGCCATACTGCCAAAAGACAGTAACTAGATCAAAGCTAGACCAGAAGGCCATCACCTTATTGCAGACAGCTACAAAGAGGGTTGAGATAGATGGAGTCCAGCGCTATGCAACCCCACTGCTCCGTCGTTCTTCAACCATAACCCTTCAGGCACCTAAGGAAGCGGTGCTGCCCAGCCTTCGAAGGATAGAGCGCAGATTGGCTCGCAACCCTAAACTGGCAGAGACATACTGCTCTGAAATGCGCAAGCTACAGTCAGAAGGTTATGTAGCAAAGATCTCATCTGAAGAAGCCAGTCAATCCACAGAAGCCTGGTACATCCCACACCATATGGTGCACCATAATGGAAAGGACAGAATTGTCTTTAACTGCTCTTTCCAGTATCAGGGTCTGTCCCTTAATGAGCAGCTATTACCAGGCCCAACACTTGGCCCTTCTTTGATAGGCGTTCTCCTGCGATTCCGTCAGCACGCTGTTGCCGTCAGTGGTGACATCCGAAGCATGTTTCACCAGGTGCGCCTGCTTCCAGGTGATCGACCAGTTCTTCGTTTTATCTGGAGAAACATGCAAAGAGAGCAGGAGCCTACCATATATGAATGGCAGGTTCTACCCTTTGGAACAACATGCAGTCCATGTTGTGCAATCTATGCTCTCCAGCACCATGCCCAAGAACATGCAGAAGATAATCCTGACTTGGCAGCAATTGTGTCACAGGCATTTTATGTAGATAATTGTCTCCACAGCACACCAGATCCCGCAAAGGCTAAGGACGTGATTGACAGCTTGAGACAATTGCTTGCAGAAGGAGGGTTCGATATCAGACAATGGGCAAGCAATTTACCATCAGTCATAGAACACCTCCCAAAGGGTGCCAGGTCTACCTGCAGTGAGCTTTGGTTGTCACGAAACAGTACTGACCTCCAGGAACCCACTCTTGGCATGCAGTGGAACTGCCTTACTGACATGCTGGGTTACAAGCACCGCACTACTGATAATCAGATTCCAACCTTGAGGAACCTTTATAGGATCCTGGCCAGCCAGTATGACCCACTAGGTTTCATTGTGCCGTTTACGACCAGAGCTAAAGTCCTTATACAGGATCTATGGAAACAACATGTGGCATGGGACGAGCCTATCGGCCCTCAGCATATACGAGATCAGTGGGCCGTGTGGGAGGCAGAGCTCCCCATCCTTCAGCAGGTGCAGTTTCCCAGACCCTTTGTGCCAGCCAGCGCGGACAGCACTGTAGCGACCAGGGAGCTTCACGTATTCTGTGATGCTTCAGAGAGAGCATATGGGTCAGTCGCCTATCTGCGGACCATAACCCATGGTGGGGACGTCCATGTGGCTTTCATCCTAGCCAGGTCCCGTGTAGCACCAAAGAAATGCCTCTCTATGCCTCGTCTAGAACTGAGTGCTGCATTAACTGGAGCTCAGCTGGTCAAACTGATACAGGACGAACTAACCCTCACAGTTGGTGAAGTTGTTTGCTGGTCAGATTCTACCACGGTGCTGTATTGGCTGAACTCAGAGTCCTGCCGCTACAAGGTCTTTGTTGGGACACGTGTGGCTGAAATCCAGAATCTCACTGAAGGGGCTACCTGGAGGTACGTTGACTCACATCATAACCCAGCCGATCACATCACTAGAGGTCTGACCCTCACTGCATTAGTCCATCCAAGCCAGTGGAGGTCAGGACCTGATTTCCTGATGAAAAGTTCTGACCATTGGCCAGTCATGCCAAGTACCGGAGCAGAGCCTCATCAGAATGAGTTAAAGAAGGGTGCCTTTGTTGGCTTAGCTTCAGTTGTATTGAACACAGCAATACCAGACCCAAAGCAATTCCACACCTGGAAGGAGCTCATCAAGACTGCAGTACAGTCCCATCACGGGGCGGCTGCCCCTAATTCAAACCCGAGGCCTGATGCTTCAGACTATGTGGTTGCTGAAAGAGCTCTCTTAGCTCAGGCTCAGCTTGACTCTTTCCCACGAGAGGTAAAGGCACTTAAAAATAATCACTCCATTCCATCTGACAGTCGCCTATGTTCCCTGGCACCTGAGTATGAAGAGGCCACAGGACTCCTTAGAGTTGGAGGGCGTCTTCGGCGAGCTGTGGATTTGGAGGAGGGGACAATTCATCCCATCGTTCTTGATCCCGAGCACCATATAACTAAGCTGCTGATAAAGGACTGTGACGAGAGGCTTCATCACCCTGGTGCAGAGCGAGTTCTGGC